AAAGAGAGAAGCCCCTGCCTCAGGAAGCTCTCAGTCTGCTGGGCGTACAGTTAGCATGGATGAAAAACCTCATGAGAACTTGGCTTGGACTGCTTCCCACTCCCAGTTGGGGGAGTGCAGTCTCTGAGTGCCCTCTGCTCCTGCCTGCAGAGCTCACGAATGGCAGGCACAGCTGCTGACCTCTGCTGGGGCGTGGTTGTAGGGGAAGTAGCAGGTGGAGGAGTCCAAGGCTGGGTGGGGCTGACGGAGAAGCATGGGTGTGGGGACTGCTAGATCCATGGGGACCAGAGCTGAAAAGTGGGGTAAGCAGAGAGGAGCCCTTCCAGGGGGGATTTCATGCATGGGGAGGTGGGAGAGGCAGGGAGGCCTCACAGAGGACACACAGAGGTCCCTGTTGTTACACCATGCCAAGCATCATGCTTTGACCTGCAGGTGTGTGTTCAGGGTGCCAGGAAACAGGCTGGAAAATGGGGACTGCTCACAGCTATGGCATGGTGGCAGTCCTCTGCCAGGGTAGCAGGGGTGTTGCCAGGAGCCAGAGTTGGTGGATATTACAACACAGTCAGGAACTGAGCCTTCATCCTTTGCCTTCTTCCTCAGCATCTACACGCCGTTCACTGAGGACACGCCCTCAGTGGGCCAGCGCCTCCTCAACTCTGTACTCAACACCCTCATCATGATCAGTGTCATCGTGGTCATGACCATCTTCCTGGTCGTGCTATACAAGTACCGCTGCTACAAGGTGAGGCCCCGCCACGCCCTCCTCGAGTCCATCCCATGGGGCCCCTCGCTCAGCACCCACTTAAAGAAATATTTTTTAACTATTGAGTTCCTTTTAATGCAATATATACTCTTGATTTTCTGTACTCTTTCCTACTGCACCCCTGCCTCCACGGAATCATGGATTACCTAATGCTGTTGTCTTAAGTGTACACATCCTAATTCCACTTAATTGAGTTCCTCATTACAGTGTTCCTGTGTTATGACTTGAGAAGTTAATTTTATTTTTGTTTCTCTTTCTGAAGTTATATTTTAGGCTTCCCTTCCTCTGTTAGTTCTCCTCATATTTATTTTTATTTTTCCACTTCTCTTTTTGGACAGGGACATTCAGGTCAGGCTCACCAGTGGCTGCCATGAGGCTCCATGAGTAGTGGAGGGGCCGTGTCCTACTTGGCCCACACATGAGCCTTGGCTGCCCCAAAGATGCCATTGCTGTTAGACATTGACTCCAGGTTCTGAAACCTTCAAGACTGGAAGGAAGTTACACTAGGCGTTACCTAATTTAAACGGCACGCAGGCACAGCACAATGGTTTTTATCCAGGCAGTTGCTATCTATGAAGCAGGTAGATACAGGCTGAGGCAGGGATGGTACAGTGAGGGAGCTGAGCCCTGTCCCAGCAAGGAGGTGTTAGAGGTGAGTTATGGGGTGGGGGACTGGTGGGAATCATTCCTGACCAAAGTTTATAATAAATAGCAATTACCTGTGTGATTTTGAGTGGAGAAGTTGGCGGATGGTGGGAAGCTGGGTAGAGGGCTGCCTGTTTGGAGTGAGGGAGCAGGATGTGTGAAACCAGCTAGGGGAGCATGGAAATCTGACTCTGCAGTGGTCAGCAGGGGTTGGGCAGCCAGTTCCAGGGACCGTGAAGAGGCAGCACAGCCATCCATTCAGTAAGGTGTACTTGGAGGTTCCATGATACTCAGGAGGTGATGGTGGTAGACAGGTCGTAACTGGGTTGAAGAGGGTCAGCATTCTGGAGGTGGGGTGACCCTATCCCCTGTTGGCTGTATGTATAGCAAGACCTCAGTGTCTGCTTTCACTCCAGGTAGATCAGATGTCTGCAGAGATCCCAGTGGGCCAAACTGGGACTGATGATTTTGTCCTGGAGTGAAGCTACTAGAAAGTGACACCATCATAGTGCTGATAGCTGGCCAAGGGACTGGTTTTGGATCAGCCCCAGTCTCATCCTTGGCTAGGACAGGAGGAGCAGGTCTTTCTGAGGACCTGCCTGTAGCCCCTTGGGTGGAAAGGGACTCCTTGACCACTTGGTCTAGAGTGGCACCTAATGAGTCTCTTGTCACTTTATCCTGCTGGTTCTTCCTCCCATATCCTTTGTTTCTGCTTCCCAGTGTATATCTATTTATGAGCTAATTCCCTCACATTGAAATGCAGCACCCATAGGCCGAGACCTTACAAGCTTTCTGTCCAGGACCTAGCATGGCGCTGGCTAGTGGGAGCACATAGCATCTCTCTAAGTGAGTGAGTAGTGAGGGGGGAGAACCCAGGTCTGGGTGACGGCCCACCTAGAGGAGTGTCATCCTCTCCTACACTTGGAAGGTGACATAGAGAGAATGCCTTGAATTTCTCTGCCTTCTTTATCTTGAAGATGGCCACCTGATACCTTCCGCATAGTCATAAAGGAGCACGACTAATGGAGGCATTCAGGCTTGGGCGTCAGTGCCAGGAACCCGGCACCTTGTAATCTGAGGACTCGGGGATAACTCGCGATTGTCCTTTCTGTTGGCTAGTTCATCCATGGCTGGCTGATTATGTCCTCCCTGATGTTGCTGTTCCTCTTCACCTATATCTATCTCGGGTAAGTGCTGGCTGGTGAGCAGCAGGGTCAGTGGGGACCCCATCCCTGTGGCATGAGTGGATATGAAGGACCTAGGGAGGGAAGGGAACCTTCCCCAGTGTGGGGTGCTCTAAGAACCTAGGTCTTCAGGACTGTAACCCATGGGCCCTGACACAGGGAAGCGGGGACCTATGATGGATCTGTAGTGTCCTGATCTAAAACAAACAAAGCTGTTGTGGAGGCGGCTCTCCGTAAACCCAAGGAGGGTAGAAGGCTCTCAGAATTTTCACTGGGCTAAGCCTGGCACTTCCTAGTTTATGGGAGAAACGATACACTCTGTTGCCCCTTGACTTAGAATAATAGCCTGGCGTAGGGGCCCAGAGAGCCTGGAGGGACAGGAGGGACACTTCCGAGGACATTACCCATGTGCAGAATGTCTTCCTGATCCGGTCAGTGCAGGTTAATGGGAGCCATCCCATACACTCCTCTCCTTGTTCTAGGTAATATTTCACCAGGTTGGTTGGAGGGCCAGTGGGGGCAAGAAGTGGGAATGTTAGTAAATAAGGCTAGGCTGGAAACACCCAGGTGGAGACTTATTGAAACTGTGTCAGCGTGTGACCCATCTCCCCACGAGCCATCCCTTGGTCCTGCAGGGAAGTGCTCAAGACCTACAACGTGGCCATGGACTACCCCACCCTCTTGCTGACCGTCTGGAACTTTGGGGCGGTGGGCATGGTGTGCATCCACTGGAAGGGCCCCCTGGTGCTGCAGCAGGCCTACCTCATCATGATCAGCGCGCTCATGGCCTTGGTCTTCATCAAGTACCTCCCAGAGTGGTCCGCCTGGGTCATCCTGGGTGCCATCTCTGTGTATGGTAGGTGGGCCTGGGGGCTTGGCCGGGGGTGGTGGGGGCATGTCAGGGCTGAGCCATTCTCTGCTGCACAGGGATGACAGGTGCTGACAAGCTGCCCTCCCCTCCTAGGGAGGCTGCCTGAGGAGTTCCCCTTTGTACGACTTAGGGGCCCCCTAGACACATGGTGTTCTGTTGACCAGACCTGGTAGCCACTGCAGTGTTCCATTTTGGCATGTTTAGTGAGCGCTCACGTGCTTAAGCACTTGACATACTATAAGGCATTTGTTCCTCAGAACAACCCTAAGCGTGATGGGCACAGTGACTATAAATGACCCAAAATGTTACTGCTGCTTTTTGAAAACAAAGTTAATTTTTTTTAAAGAGATATTTCTGCTATGGGGTGTGTGTACTCGCCAGAGAGACAGAGACAGAGAGACAGAAAACAATAAATCACTCCCTGATGGGAATGGCCATGCCATAATCTCTTTTCTTGGAATCTTAGGCATATATGTGTACACACCTGGTGGAGTTTGAAGCTACCAGGTCCAGGACTTGAACCGTGGTCAACTATGTGGGAGTCCAGCAACGTAACCATTATGCCATCTGCTGGCTCCCCATTTTAACTTTTTCAATCAGTGAAAGAAAGAGAGAGAGCACCCCCAATAGTGTCCCGATGCCCCCAGCCTCAGCCAGCCGGATCATGGGCCTTACATGCCCCATGTACTCAGGGAAGTTTTCCTGCTTGAACCAGGCGCCTTCCCACATGGCTTTACTGTGCAGGGCACCGTGTTTTATTCTGACTCTGCTGTCTGGCCCCGTTACTGCTGTTTAGTTCATATCAGCACGGTTACATCACCAGTGTTGCTCCTTCCATGTTTCTTTTTTTTTTTTGGAGAGACTTTTTGCTATAGGGCGCGTGCGCTCACCAGACAGAGACAGAAAGCGAGAAATCACTCCCCAGGGGGGATGGCCATGCCATAATCCCTTTCCCTCCATTCTTCTCTCGGGATCTTGGGCACGCACTCACACGTGCCCGGTGTGAGTTTTTTAAGCCACCGGGTCCAGGAAGCGAACCGCGGTCAACTACGTGGGAGTCCAGCGACATAGCCATTACGCTAACTGCTGGTCCCACTCCTTCCATTTTGAGAATGAAGAAGCTAAGACTCTGAGAAATGGGACTGCCCAGCATCCTCTGGGTCTCAGGTCACAGCCCTTACTGTGGGCCCTGCTCTGGGCCCAGGCGAGCGCAGAGGCTCTCAAGCGGGACTGGAAACTGGTGGGTTCGGGATGCTTGTTCAGCAGCAAGGTCTGTGCTGAGAACCCCGCCCTTTGGCTCCTGGTGGTAGGGGGCTGGCTTCTCTCTGTAGGGCTATGTGGGAATAAATGTCTTTTTTAACATGACAGGGACATCTCTCTTTTTCCAGATCTCGTGGCTGTGCTGTGTCCCAAAGGGCCACTGAGAATGCTGGTGGAAACTGCCCAGGAGAGGAACGAGCCCATATTTCCTGCCTTGATATACTCATGTGAGTGGGCCCCCATCCCTTTGCCTGCCCATGGGCTCAGAGGACGACTGCGGGGGTTTCCAGGGCTGACCTGGGGGGCAGATCCCCTAGATAGAGTGCCCAGTGTGACTGACAATGAGAAGAGGGAGAGATAGGGAGGGTTCAGATCTTTTTTTTTTTTGGAGAGACTTTTTGCTATAGGGCGCGTGCGCTCACCAGACAGAGACAGAAAGCGAGAAATCACTCCCCAGGGGGGATGGCCATGCCATAATCCCTTTCCCTCCATTCTTCTCTCGGGATCTTGGGCACGCACTCACACGTGCCCGGTGTGAGTTTTTTAAGCCACCGGGTCCAGGAAGCGAACCGCGGTCAACTACGTGGGAGTCCAGCGACATAGCCATTACGCTAACTGCTGGTCCCACTCCTTCCATTTTGAGAATGAAGAAGCTAAGGCTCTGAGAAATGGGACTGCCCAGCATCCTCTGGGTCTCAGGTCACAGCCCTTACTGTGGGCCCTGCTCTGGGCCCAGGCGAGCGCAGAGGCTCTCAAGCGGGACTGGAAACTGGTGGGTTCGGGATGCTTGTTCAGCAGCAAGGTCTGTGCTGAGAACCCCGCCCTTTGGCTCCTGGTGGTAGGGGGCTGGCTTCTCTCTGTAGGGCTATGTGGGAATAAATGTCTTTTTTAACATGACAGGGACATCTCTCTTTTTCCAGATCTCGTGGCTGTGCTGTGTCCCAAAGGGCCACTGAGAATGCTGGTGGAAACTGCCCAGGAGAGGAACGAGCCCATATTTCCTGCCTTGATATACTCATGTGAGTGGGCCCCCATCCCTTTGCCTGCCCATGGGCTCAGAGGACGACTGCGGGGGTTTCCAGGGCTGACCTGGGGGGCAGATCCCCTAGATAGAGTGCCCAGTGTGACTGACAATGAGAAGAGGGAGAGATAGGGAGGGTTCAGATCCTCGCAGGCCCTGCAGGACTTTGGCCCTTTCTCCTGAGAGAGACTAGGCGAGTTGGGGCCGACCTGACTCGATGTTGTAACAGGATCGCCCAGGTTGCTGGGTACAGTAGACATGGTGGGATGTGGTTGGATTCTGGAGATATTTGGAAGCAGAATTGGCAAGATCTATTAATGGCCAAGGTATAGGTTGTGAAACAGAAGAGTTGAGGATATTGCCGATGGTTTGGTCCTGAGCAGCAGAAAGGTAGACCTGCCATTTCCTGAGGAGGAGTAGGCGTGGTTGAGAGGGTGGTCGGGTGAATTGAGTTTGAGATGTTCAGTAGATATTCAGGTAGGGAGTTGGAGATACGGAGTAGTGAAGTCAAGAGAGAATGTCCAGGACAGAGAGAAAACACAGATCATCAGGTCATACCATGTGGTCAGCTGTCCCTTCTCTGGATACATACCAAGGGGATTGGAAGCAGGGACTCCGTATTTACACGCCCGTGTTCATAAGGCCATGATTCATGTTTGCCAAGAATTGGAAGCCACCCAGATGTCTGTCAGTGGACGAAAATTGTGATATCCGTATAGTTGAATATTCTTCAACCTTAAAAAAGAAGGAAATTCTAACACATGATACCACATTGATGAACTTGAGGACATTATGCCGAGTGAATTAAGGCTGTCACAAAAAGACAAATACTATGTGGTTCCACTTATATGAAGTACCTAGAGTTACCAAATTCACGGAAGCAGAAGACAGAGCAGTGGTTCCCCAGGGCTGGGGAGGGAGCAAAGGGGAGGTGCTCAGTGGTGTAGTTTGTAAGGAGGAGACATTCTGGAGATCTGGTGAATATACTTAGCAGTACTAAACTGTACACTTACAAATGGTTAAACAGATACTTTTTTTTTTTTTAAGAGTTTCTTTCTTTCATGAGAAAGAGACAAGACAGGGGCAGAGAGAAAGATAAACACCTTCCACAGGGTCTCGCACTGTGATCCCAGCTTTTCCAGCAGCCAGGATGTCATGGGCACGTGTGCTCCCCGTGTGTACAGGCCGACCTGGGGACTGAACTCCGATCTTCCCTATGGCTTCCAGCGCTGGAGAGCGTTGCACTGCTGCTGCACCACTGCAGCTGGGCCTAAGTAATACATTTATGTGTTTTTTACCAAAGCTTTAAAAAAACACCACCAAACTCTTCACTAATGTATCATTGTCATTTTGTAGTTATATGTGAGGGGGGGAAAAAGGACAAGAAGAGACATTGTCTGGCTGCACGTGGCCAGTGAGTCTGGACCCTTACCCTAATGGCCTCCTAACAATGGAGCTTGAGCAAATACCTGAGGGATAGAGGGTCCTGTGCAGGCTTTCTGGTGACACAGACTGGCCACCTGACTCTCAGGGCCTGCGGGCAGCTACTGGACACATGCCTGAGGTGTGACCCTTCTCTCTTCCCTCAGCTGCCATGGTGTGGACGGTGGGCATGGCAAAGCTGGACCCCTCTCAGGGAGCCCTACAGCTCCCGTATGATCCAGAGATGGGTGAGTATCCAGGGGGCCAACAGCCTCTGGTCACTTGGGAGCATCACGTCACCCATGCCCAGCTCTGTCCAGCCTGGCTCTCTGGGGCCTGAGGGGCAAAGGATGTGTCCTTTGACAGCCAGCTTTCATGGGGATTAAGCCAGCATCACACTGGTGATCCTGTGCCCCTGCCTCTTT